ACTACGCTGATGGACAGTGACTGTAATGGGGTGTGGGGTGGGGACTTGGTGAAGGGGGGAGACTAGTAAACAATGTTCTTCATGTAATTGTGGATTAATGATAACAATAAATAAATAAATAAATAAATAAATAAATAAATAAATAAATAAATAAAAACACCTTGCTGGATAGATCTACAAATTCTAACATATGTACAGATCAGTGTAAGCCCTACCACAATCAGAGCACAGAGCAGTCCCATCTCCAGAACACCTCCCTCATGCCATCTCTTTACCACCACCACCTCTAACCACTGGTGACCACTGAGGCTTCTCCCTCCCAACTGTGTTGTCTTTTCGAGAATGCCAGATAGCAGAGTATTACCTTTTAAAACTGGCTTCTTTCACTCCACATGATGCCTTTGTGATTAAAATCCAAGTTGTCCTGTGCGTGAAGAGCATGCCCTGTTTTATCCATGCCATCATAGGGCTGCACCAGTTTGCTTTAGCCATTCGCCTGTTGAAGGACATTTGGGTTGTTGTCTGAGTTTTAAGTGTCTTGTATTTGTTGTGGTTCATTTTGTTTTTGTTTTTTGCAAATTAAAAAAAATTGTGATAAAATACACATAACATAAAATGTACCATTTTGAAGTACAATTGAGAGGTGTTAAGTACATTCAAAGTGTTGTCCGAGTGTCACCAACTCTTTCCGCAACTTTTTCATCATCCCAAACAGAAACTCTCTCCGCTTTAGACAGTAACACTCCATTCTCCCTCCCCCAGCCCCTGGTGACCTCTCTTCTGCTCTCTGTCTCTGAGTTTGCCCGTTCCAGGTGCCTCATACAAGTGGAATCATATGATGTTTGTCCTCTTGTGTCTCACTTACATCACTGAACACAGGTATTAAAGGTTCATCCATATTGTAGCATCTACCAGACTTTTCTTCCTTTTTAAGCAGAATGGTATTCCATTGTATGTATATACCACACTTTGTTTGTGCATTCATCTGTCCATGGGTACCTGGATTTTTTCTTGCCTTTTGGCTATTGGGAATATTGCTGCAATGAACATATGTACATAAATCTCTTTGAGACCTTGCTTTCGATCCCTCTGGGCATATACCTACAAGTGGAGTCAGTGGGTCATATGGTAAATTCTATGTTTACCTTTTTGAAGAATTGCCAAGTTGTCTCCCACAGGGGAGATACTATTTTACATTCCTTACTAGTGAAGTACTAGTTTCTTCTACATCCATATTAGTCATCTCTGGCTGCTATAACAAAATACCACAGACTGGGTGGTTTAAACAACAGAAATTTATTTTCCACCATTTTGGATGCTGGGAAATCTAAGATCATGGTGCTGGCAAATTTTATTTCTGGTGAGAGCTCTCTTCCTTGCTTATAGATGGCCACCTTTTGGCTATATCCTCACATGGCCTTTCCTTGTTATTAAGCTTGGAAAGAAAGAGAGAGAATTCAGGCCTCTCTTTCTCTTCTTAGAAAGACACCAATACTATGGCATTAGGGCCCCATCCTTGCAATCTCATTTAACCTTAATTAATTCCTGAAGAGCCTATATCCAAATACGGTCACATTGTGAGCTAGGGCTTCAACATATGAATTTCGGGATTGGGGGGCAACACAATTCAATCCATAGGAACATCTTTGCCAAAGCATTTATTACCCATTAAAAAAATAATAATAACCATTCTAAGGGATGTGAAGTGATGTCCCACTGTGGTTTTGATTTACATTTCCCTAATGACTAATGACATTTAGCATCTTTGCATGTGGTTACTGGCTATTTGTATATCTTCTTTGGTTAACTGTCTATTCAAGTCTTTTGCCCATTTTTTAATTGGGTTGTTTGGTGATAAACTGCAGGAGTTCTTAATATAATCTGGATATTTAAATGCTTATCAGATATATGATTTCCAAAAATTTGTTCCCATTGTCTGGGTAGCCTTTTCACTCTTTTGATATTGTCCCTTGATGAAGAAAAGTTTTCAATTTCAATGAAGTCCAATTTGTTTTTTTTCTTTTGTTGCCTATGCTTTTGATGTCATATTTAAGGAACCACTGCCCAATCCAAGATCATGTATATCTGCCCCTTTGTTTTCTTCTAAGAGTTTTATATTTTTAGCTCTTAGATTTAGTTCTTTGATCTATTCTGAGTTAATTTTTGTATATGGTACCAAGTGAAGGTACACCGTTATTCTCCTGCATGTGGATGTCCAGATTTCCCAACACCATTTGCTGAAGAGACTGTCCTTTTCCTCGTTGTGTGGTCATGGCCTTATTTTGACCCTTGTCAAAAACAAATTGATATGCTTGTGAAGGTTTCTTTCTGAGCTCTATTCTATATAATTCTATTCTACTTTCTGGGCTCTCTATTTTAATGTCTGCCTTTATGCCTGGATCACACTGCTTTGTTTGTTGGAAGAGGATATTACCTCACTTGCAAGTTGTCATGAGAATGAGAGATAATGCAAATGAAGTGCCTGGTACAGAGCTTGGCACACAGTTGGTGCTTAACAAATGGCAGCTATGCTTACGAGAAGGCTGGTTAGGTGCCTTCAGGTAGAAAGGACCAGAGACTCACACAGGATCCCTCAGACACACTGAGAAATCATCCCCATCTGCACAACTGGCCTGGGGAGGCTGGAATGTCACTCATGAGGCAACTGGTTGTACTAGAGCAAGTGTCCCCTGCTTCTCAGCACCTGAAGCACATTTTCTGTGTTTGCTTATCTCTTCTAGTGCTACTGTCTAAATTCAGATTCCCGAAAGAAGCCTCTGAGACAAGAACTTGGTGGTTTACTTTGGAGGAGATTGCTGGAAGCACAGTGAGGGAGGAGGGGGAAAATGAGACCAGAATTGCAGAAGGTTGTCTCTGTGGGCCACTGGGGCCCAGTCCCACGGGGCAGCCTTGGACTGCACAGAGCACACCGCCACACAGTGTTCCTGGGGATTTATCCACGGATTCCTGCAGCCCTGGAGGCTTGAACTCTGGCCCCTCTGGGCTGCCCTGCACAAAGGTCTGAGCACCACAGCTCCAGAAAAAACCCTCAGGCTAAGAAGCAGAGCCATGAAGGTACTGTAAAGTGCTGGCAGCGAGCCACCTCCAGCACCTGCAGATGGACTTCAGGGAACCCGGGGATGGAGGCGAGGCACCCACAGCCTCCACACTTCCTACTTCAAGACTCCTGCATGCTCAGGGCTTCCACTGCCTCAACTTCTGGCTTTAATTTCTATGTATCTCTGGGTTTCCATGTCACTCTGCTGCCCAAGTGTCACGAAAGTCGTGCATTTAACCTGTCCTGGAGAGAAGCTTGGTCAGGATGCCGCCTTGATTGGTCAGGTGTCTTACGCTAGTCTGCTCATCAGGCACTGGCCTCGGAAGCCAGCTGCCCCTGCCTCATTTCTGAGGTCCAAGGAATAAAGTGTAACAACTTGTTTGCAGGAGCCATTTCAGACTCTTCCTTCAATGGAGGCTGCCTTGTGCCAGCACCCAGGGCCTCTTGGATCACTATTCCCCCTTACAAAGGAGGGAAGTGGGGCTCAGAGAGGTTAAGAGACTTGCCTGGGGGCACACAGTTAAGGGCAAGCTCGGACTTGACAGCCATCTCCTGACTCCAAATCTCACGCTCTCTCTGCTCACTTATTTTACCTCTTATGCAGAGAACAAAACCTCAAAGTGTTACGGTTACAGGAATCTCCTTCCTATTTGGTGGGTTGGTTCATGGTTGGAAGGGATCTGCCCAGTGATCCTCGTACTTCAAGGACTCTGGGTCCTGGGGGGCACA